GATTCAATACTCTGACTATATTTGATATATATGTCGATGAATGCAGTTATAATCGACTCCTAGGGATCAATTGTGTATTTGAAATGAGGTGAAAAAGTGAATAAATTTACTATTGGCTTTTGACATATGAAGTTGCGAATATTTTAGTGAATTTCCTTTAATTTTCAAAATACATGATTGACTTCCTGATGCACGTCACTTACGCGATAAGGCCTGTTCTACAATGTGTCGCGTGTCAGTGCCGTAAGCCACAAGAATTGACCAATCACAGACGAATATGAGGAAAATACTTGATTGTGATTGGCCCATTCTTATGGCCCACGACCCACGACGCATTGTAGAACAGGCCTAATTCCTAGTAATAGTGTATGCTTCCAACAGAAGCCATCAGTTGCTTTACAGGCTGGAATGCGTTCATTGATTCCTATACCAATGACGTTATGGCTCTTACGTCACCGATCAGCATGGCAACTGTTTTCGCCCAAAGATATGGTATTGTTATTCTTATGCCAAGTCGAAAATTCAATTGGGAATAATAAGAATGATAGCTATAGTAGTAGTGGTAGTAGAGTTGTTGCTATTCGTGTGATGTGTTGTGTTGACAATTTCGTTTGTAATGTAAATAATAAATTATACAAGTGACAATTTTATCGAATCGTACATGTAGAAGTTACGCGATGCATTTCTTATGCTTTGATATTCACTGTTAAACTTTATGAATACACAGTGGAGTGTCGTTTATATCGAATTAACAGGTAGTGGTGATTATTGAAACAGTTGTCATCTGCATGTTGAGTTTAGTCATCGTCATATTACATTATGTTTGCTACCTTAAAAAATAAGATACGTGAGGAAATCGGCAGTGACGTGTCTACGGTTATCAAGAACGCTGGAAATATACGCGGCATTAATTCTAAACATTTGTCTCAGGTAAATATAATGTCATCGAATATCATTAATCTATATTTTAAATTTTAATTTAATCAAGTATTTTTAAAATTTTTAAAAACACTAAATTTAATAAAAAAAAAGTATAATATATTGGTTCAAACATTATAAATTATAGACGTGAGGTTAAGTATATGTGTGTGTATAATGTTGACTTTATTAATTAGTCTCTGCTTACCGGACTTCTGATTAAATGAATAATAGGTTATTTGAAAATATATATGTAAGACCAATTTTTTATATATATTTTAAAACAATTTCTATAAAAAAAGAATATCCGATCTAATATTTTCCAAATTTCCCATTTAATATTCTTCCACTGGAGTATATATTATATTCCACTATCATTAAAACGTACTTGGAATCCGTTCATCTATCTTGTCTTCAAAATGACATATATACAAAATCTTAGACTTCATATTTCATTGCTATAAATTACTGCACATCGAATAACAGCAGTATCATTCTACTGAAAAAAAAAGAGTACTCTCGACACCATCAACATTAGGAATGGTTTCGAGAGGAAGAGCAAGAGTATATAAAAAAAAATGGTTATCCAAGCCTTAATGGTTTAATATTATATTTCTAAACTTGACATAAAATTATGTCAAGGTCAAGTAGTAACCAATGCATGCTTCAAGTACATACAAATAGAATATATAAAATTTCCATAAAATCTTATTATCAGACATTAGATAATGCCTGCTTGAGAATAACAAATGTCAATTTTTGTTTTATTTGTGTTAGAAATATAAAGCAATGTTATTATGCTAGTTTTCTAGTACGGATAATATAATTATTATTACAGACAGGTTCTACAAGTAGTATTAGTGGTTCTCAAGTATCATTAGATGGATCAAGAGAAGAAAATGCAGTATCTCCTCTGCCATCAATTTCACCAAAGAGAGAGAATAGTTTTGAATTTAAGTCTAATGATGGAATGCAAGTTTCTGCAAAAGATATAAAAAAATTTGAAAGTAAAGAAGATGAATGGAAAAAATGTTTAGCAAAAAAAGAAGCAGAAATATTGAAAAGGATGGAAAAGAAGGAGGAAGAATAGGAAAGTCAAAACTTTTACAAAAGGAAAAGGAATGGAAGAAAATTGTAGAAAAACAAGAGAAAGAGAAACAGCGATTAGAAGAAAAGATAAAAAAAATGGAATTTGCAAAACAGTCATTGGAACACGCTGTTAAAAATGCCGAAGGTATTTTTAGAGAATGTAAACTTGTAAAATGTTACATTTTATTTTTTATAAATTCTTTATTTTGTGTGTATATATGTGCGTCATATACTATATAATTTCATTATCAAAACATCACATAAATACTAATATTAATATTTGACAGTTATGCTTTGCTAATATGAAGTGAGCAAAGTGAAACAACCGATCAACATCGCGGAAAAACATCAACAATTAAAATTTTACACGGCCTTTTTATAAATGGACTCTTGTAAAATTATGCTTTTGATGTTTACTTTTTTCTTGAAAACTACTCAATTTTTATATTAGTTTTTTTTTTTTTTTTTTTATAAAACTTTGTGAAAATAAACTCTATTTTGACCGTTTGTGATTTTAAGAAATTATGTTTTCAAAAATGTCTTCAAAAATTATGTTTTCAAAAATGTTTTTAAAAATTACAAGTAAAATTGTAAAGAAAAAAATAATTTCAAGTTTTAATTAAAAGGCAGAATATATTTAGATAGTATTAATCATGACAGAAGAAAGTATTAATCATGATGTAATCAAATATATTACAAAAGGAATAAAAAAACAAATCAAATGTGTTGACCCAATAATAAGAAAAAAAATAAACATAAGTGATTTTGTTCTGTGATTTTGCAATTGCATATTTAAGTTGAAACTCGTAATTCTCACAAATAAAGTTTATACTTATTGAAAAATGCTTGATGCTATATCCTTAATTTCATTATTCAAACTATTTAATTATTTTTAAATGGGAAATTTTTGAGAGTGGAGCAATTTAATATTAACTTGGATCGTCTCTTTATCCGTATAAAAAAAGATTATATAAAGTGATTACATCAGAAAATCTAATATATTTGAATATATTGCTAAAAGCAATCAAATTATTGTTTTGGATATATAATGTTCAGGAAATACCACGTACACGTATGCAAAAGTTTGGAGTCGTTAAATACTATAGGAATGACGAATCATAGGATTCTTATCTCCGTGTGACATATACATGCGTGTGTGTGCGCACGCATAAACATAGTTTTCCATTAAATCACGCTCTTTAGGCACCTATACATTTATACTTTCATACATTCATACATCTGCTCTCACTCTTATATGTTTACATATTTATATCTTCATATTTCCACACATCTCTATTTTTACAATTTCACATTCATACATACATATATATATATGTATGTATATATCCACTCATATTTTCATGTATCTATATACCCACAATCTTACTTCTACATGTGTTTGCATCCTTATTCCTTTATACATTTATATTCATCAAAGGATAAATTGAATATTGTTATTATTATATGTCAAATTAATTTTTTTGTAAAAGTCAGCTTGAAATTCTAAATAAATATAAATAAATAAATATTTTCTTTATACCCCTCCTATTAAGAATTTTTTTAGAATTTTAATTAAGCTTCCAAATAAAAAGGGAGGGTGTGCGTCACAGCAGGGCCCGACCACGAATCAGTCGTGAAAATTCGTAATTATTATCCTACTGAAGCATGTGATGATATTTATCACAATAATGCGTTTCAGACAACATGTTAAACAATACATTGTCATACATACACATATACATACATCACAATATACATATTTGTATATACATTCTCGAACTCTACGACCGGTACTCCAGAGAGATGATGGATGCAAGTCGGACTGCAGTGGTGACATCCTCCAACGCCACTTTTTAATACTTGATGTAAATTTGAATATAACTTTATTTTATCCACATTTTGAATTTCATTGTTATTTCTAGAATATAAAAAGAAGTTGTACAACTTTCAAGAAGATGCAGAACAACTGGAAGGTTTTCAAACACAGGAAATGGCAAAAATTAAACATCTCGTACGTTTTTTATTGAATTAGTAATTAGCATATAAATTATATGATTTATCTCTTTACAAATAGACAGTTTCTATTTATATAGAATTTTTTATAAATAAATGACAATATGATGGATATAACAGATAAAATAAAAAAAGATTATAATATTTTATGCAAAATTAAGTTAATACTGAACTTTAAAACAAATTGACTATATACTTTATATAAATTTTAAGAAAAAAATCAACTTTAAGATCTGGAAAATTATATATATTATATATTATTATTTATGTTTTTCTTTTATATAGATTACAAAGTTATCATAAAATATTTTAAATTCTACATAAAAATATAAATAATTTTTTCGATTTTTCAAAATTGTATTTTTAAATTTCTTACGATATTATTATAATTTTAAATTATTATATTTTTGATTATTTTTTTCAAATATTTATTTTTTTCAAATATTTCTTTCAATAATTTATATTTACATTCATACAATATTGAATTAAGTTCAATGTATATCTTAAATTCTTAATAATTCTTAATAATTCTTATTAAAAATTATTTGAATTTAACAATATTATATAACAATATTATATATTATAATATTAAACTGTTTATTAATAATTTAATAAGTATTGTTAACAAATACGTGAAAATTTAAGAGAAAATATATTTATTTTTATATGAAGATAATCTCTTTTCAATTATACCTCAATTTATACATTTAATTTATATATAATTATGATTACTATTTTTAATACTATCTATCATATTTCAATATTTAACAAATAACAAAATAAATAATAACTTATTTTTTTTAGTTGTTGGCAAAAGAGCAAGAAGTAGAAGAGAAAACACATCAGTTGAAAATTGCTACAACAGAAATAGAAAATCTGAAGACAGAAGTTTCCCGTCTTAGACGATATGAAAGCGAATTGAACAATGTACAAGTGAGTAAATTGATCAATATTTTTCATTTGTTTAAATTAATTTTTATCTAGCTATTATTTATTGAAATGATTTTCATTTTCTTTTTATATGGTTATATAAGATTTATATTTTATAATATTTTTGATATTATTCAAATTATGCAGTTTAACTTTGATTATATTATAAAAATATTGAAACTGAAAAAAGTAATTCCTTTATTATATAAGTTAAACAGAATTTTATTGGAATAACCTATATACTTTTTTATTTATGCAAAATGAATTTTAAAGATTATAATTAACGGGTGAGATTTAACTTTTGTTTCAAACATTGTGTATTATACTATATATTAGTATAAAACTTTAAGCAATCTGATTTGCTGATTTGTAATGTTTATAAATTGAAAACTATTAAAAATAAGAAAGGCAGTAACGGTCATGACTAGATTTTGGTGTATATGGTAATAGTTAGTTTTTGATATAATATTTTAATAAGATATATTTCTGTAATCGAATTTTTATTAATGTTATTAATTAATTATTAAATATTATTATGAGATATTAGAGGGAATGTAAGGATCTGCGCACAATGGAGGAAATATTAGGAATAAGAATAAATATTAAAGTTTAGAAATAAAAATTTAGAATAAAAATTAAACGTAAGGCACAATGAACACAACTAAGATATGATTATATTTTATACTTATTTATATTCATTGTTACATTTATTTTTATTCCGAATTTTCATTTCCAAAATTTTATATTTATTCGTATTCCTAATATTTATTATTTCTCTATTGTGCGCAGGACTCTAATTTTGATTAAATTATTAATTCATTAGTAGATACATAATTGGTAGCAATAATATAAAATTTTGTATGTGAGTGTGCATGTGGATACGCGTGCGTATATGTGTACATGTGCATGTATACATGCGTACGTATGTATTTATGTATATGTGTGTATGCGTGCGTGCGTGCGTGCGTGTGCGTGTATGGGGGAGGGGAGAAGGGAAGAGAAGCATGCATATGTGCATTAAAGCATTTTTAACAATTAATATAATAGATAGATATTAGAAGTTTATTAAATCAAATCTTAAGTAAGTTTTAATATTTTTCTATATCTTCTTCAAGTGCCATACAGTATCAGTATGTAGACGCCTCTCTCTCATTGAATAGTATACCTAGTGCTCGTTTATCAGGGATTTTTCATTGTCGGTCCAATGTGTTTCGCTGATCCCCATGATATCTATGGCAAGTCTATCCATTTCCTTAATGGCGATGTATATTTTATCTGCTTCGTACATAGTTTTGACGTTCCAGGTGCAGATTTTAATTGCCCTGGTAGTCTTTACGGGCGCGTCGCTGTTGATGTTTGTTTCGCTTGATGACGACCTGAGAGGCCCCGTAATCTGGTTGAGATATTCCTCCCTTACCGAATCTTGTTTTCCAATGTCCATGATCAGTAACTTGTCTTATTCCAAATAACTTGCCTTAATCATGACACTTTACTAGAGAAGATCTATTGGGATGGTTTCTCGTTGCCTTCTGCAAAGCAGTATCTTAGCCGATTTATTCTTACTGCGAGTATCGCCTGTGGATGTCTGGTGCCGAGCCTTTAGAGAGATAATTTCTCAATAGCTTCGACTTAGTGATGGCATAGCTGTTGCCCTATGTCATGCTCTCAGTTAATCCGCGGTTGTTTATTTGATGAAATCCTTATTCGCATTTGTCCTATATGGTATATCTATAGGAATGTTCCCTATCAGCCACTGGGACGCCGTGTCGGGTTTAAGGACATCCCCACAAATTCATTTTAATACATGAAACGGGATTAAAACTACGGGATTCTTATTCTTTTAATCCAAAAAAAGTTACACCATGCAATCCATGCGATCCGTTTTAATCCATGAAACGACACTGAAAGGAAACACTTCTTTCAATCCAAAATATATTAAAATAAATTAAAATAGATTAGAAATTTTCGATTCATTTTAATCTATTTCCGGATGCGTGGCGGCAAATATATAAAAATACATGCAGTGCATTAGTTTATTTAATATTTTGTATCACGTTTGATTATCTGGAGATATTTATCACAATAATCAAATAAGTTCAAAAGTCATTTTTTCAGTCAACATGAAGAATAAACAATCCAAATAACATCAACTTGCTACTTGGGAATGTAATAAGTCGAGAGACAAGTTCCAAAGAATCCCAAATTCCAAAGATCAGAGAGAGCATTGTTCGCTGGATTAGATTTTAGAAATCTAATAATTTTTTTTATTATTGAATTTGTATCTATAAATACCAAACTATAAATGTTTTTGTAGTGACTTCTATAATCCAGTTCACCGAATAATGCTGTCTCTGATTTGTTCTTTGAAACTTGTCCCTCGGTTTATTAT